TATTAATACAATAATACTATAGATATAATAAAAATAAATTTAAAGACTATCAAAAAGAAAAATAATCGAATACTTAATTTCAACATCATACATAGACGAAATTAATCATTGGTTTTCTTGTCATATTTTATAAACGGAAATATCTTATTAACTAAAATAAACTTACAAATAATCTTGTGAATGTGTTACAAGACAAATGCCTTGATTTAAACATGGATTATTTGGATAACATGGATTATTTTTTACTTGATTTATATTTAAACTAGTTAAATTAAAATTTTTCGTTAAACGATTTGTATTATCAAATGAAATAAGTTGATCATTAATACGTATATCTTGTAGCCAACCATTTAATGCATTATCACCAAGTAATTGAATATGATTTAAAAATAATTTATTATGTGTTTTCATTAATGTTTCATTATAAATTTTATCGATAATTAATCTATAATTTTCTAAATCAAGTTCAATTTGATGTGGACGTCCATCATTTAATTTTTGTTCACTACGTAATTCAAATTCTTTTCGTTTAGGTCCATCATCAATAATTATCAAACGAAAATGACCATCAATCAATGCTCCAATTATTTTTGATGTTGATCGATTTTGTGATAGTAAATCACGAGTTATTCGTTGTTGTTTTATGGAAGAAATAAGTTCAAATAGTGTTCCATTCGGTTGAAGAGTGTTAAAAAAGAGAGAGATATTTAATATCGATGATGAAAATACTATATTAACTAAACTTGATTGATTGAATTTTATAATTGGAGCAACTGGGAACGATAAAAACAAATCAAAAGAAAATTTTAATAGGAGAAAAAAAAACAAGGTTTTACTTTGATCACAATGTTCACCGAAAAAAGGTCGTTGACATTCACATGTATGATAAAACCAATGATCTTGACATAATTCATTTTTTCGACAAAGTGCATTTTGACAAGCATTTGTTCTAAACAAAGATTTTGTTTTAACAATTGACGATTCTGGTATTAATCATATATCAAGAGAAAGTACAGATTTGCAATATCTTGTTTATTATTGATACTATTTTGAGAAAATAACGATCTTATATAAAATTTGACTCACAGCTTCCAGTGTCAAGGAAGGTCATATTCTACGATTTATTAATATTTTATAACACACAGCGATTTTCTCTCCTGATGGATAAAGCAATTCGTAATGCTTTTTCCTCGACCGCCAAAAACATTTCGTCACGTTTTATAGAAAAAGTCGAATTTGCTTCGGTTTCCAATACCTATGAGTATCACAACACTTTCTAGTATAATTTTGTATGCGGTACTTGCAATTATCCATTCGGTTAAATGTAACGAAACTTATTGACTTTTGACAAAAAATATTAATACTAAACTATGTTTAAAACTAAATATTAGAAAATATTTGTCAGAAAAGATGAAGACAAATGAAGTTTTGGTCTATATGTTAAAAATAACTGACATAGACAGGTCTACATGGTAACCAATGATAAATAGGGTTCGATCATTTTTAGTCCTGATTCTCATGAGAAAAAGAAATTGATTTCGGTTTCGTGCTTAGTGATGTTCTCCCTGTTGAAGATGCGTTACTTTTCTTAATTTACTAATATTTTATCTATCTCTCATGTTTGTGTATGACAAGTCTGTTATTTACGAAGAAAAAAGGATTAGTTTTATTATCAAAATTCTAACAGCAAATATTGAAGCGATCATTACTCAATAATTTTCGCATAAACTTTCGAAATACATGAGTCGTGAGAATATGACATTTCATGCAACGCTTACGCGACCATAAAACAAATCATTCCAATTGAAAAAGTATTGATCTTGGAGGAAACATCTTGCTTATATCTAATCATAATATTCATCATATTCATTGTGTTTCTTTTGCATATGATTAACTATTACATGTGTTTATTAAGTATTTTGGGTTGAAACAAAACTTAAAACAGTAACATTTACTCAATCATTCAACTGCAATTATTAAAATTTTAACATATTTTCATATATATGTTTCAAAATTTCTAAAACAACTAGGAGTTAAAAACCGGAAAATGCGTTGTCTAACAGAATTACATGATTGTTCTCTTTTATTTCAATTCAACCAAATCATTTGTACGTTTTCCGATCTCAATGACTTTTTGTTAATAGATACTACATAGTGTCCTAATAAAAACCCTAAAAGAATTTGGGTTCTTTTTGATATTTAAATAAACCATCGAATTTTTAATATCTACTTTCCAAGAGGTGTCAGATTTTCAGAAAATTCGTATTTTCAAGTTTCTATTTAAAAATTTTGTGAAAATAGAGAACTCAACTAGACTAGTTTCTCTTGAAAAATGTAGAAGCTTTGAATGAAGTCTCTTCAAGACATAAGACTTTCAAGTTATCGACTCTTCCATGAATTGTGTAATACTATATGTACTTTTTTGAAAGTTTCATATCTCGACGAGACTTTGTTTAAAACCTCTGAATTTTTTATGAAAGCTACTCAAGTTGAGTTCTCTGTATGCACTAACGTAAGTTTCAGATTATAATTCGAAAATCTAGGACTTCTACAATATAGGCATATTAAAAACTCAGTAGCTTTGTTAAGTTACAAGAGGAATCTAAATCCTTTTAAAATTTTTATTAGAAAACTTTGTACTATTTATAGATAAAGCAATCATTGAAAGTGGAAGGAGAACATCGAAGAAATTCCATCGTTAACAGTTACAACGTTTTATTCAGAATACAATTTCACAATCGACATCGTGAGAATGATTGTTTCATACAAAAAGTCTCGCTTTGGAAAACATGCTGCTTCGGCATGCATCATAAAATATCAACAAGTTTTAGTTCGAAGCTCTTTCTCATGAATAATAGCACCAATAAATCTTGAAAAATTCGTCAAAGCTGAGAGCACAAAATTCTCTATCCATTGATATGAACTGTATTACTTTTTCGATTAATCTTCCTAAGAAAATAACTTACACAAATGACTATATATCTACAGAAAATCGACAATCAAGCAAGCGTTCATATTTTAAATTTCGCTTCAACAAGAAAATTTTATTTGAAAAACAAATAAAATAGTTTTATAGAGTGAAAAAAGTCTCCATCGGGTGATTGAAAAATAGAGCCCGCCAGATCTAGTATCAATCCGATGGGCTTTACTCAGAAAATGCGAACTAATATATTTAAATGAGTTTCTAAAATAAAAATATTCAAATACCTTTCACAACCCAATGTTCGATTTTCATTTGTTTCAATTAATTGATCGGTAAGTAAAATTGAATAAACTTGACTATAAGTTATTTCAATATTTCTTACACAACCTGAATAATTTTTATAACCAAAAATAATTTGATTATTAATTAAATTAGCTAATGATGAATTTGAAATATAAAATCTTTGTGATAAAGAATTTTTTCCTATTCTTACATCAATCCATAAATGAAATATTTCAATACTAATCATAAACCATTTTTCATAATAATCAATAAATGTTGATAATATTGTTTTATTATCTA